CCCCCTGCCCAGACCACATGGTGTCTAGTCCGGGATGTTTAACTGGTTCATCTTCTTGTGAAGGGGATTGAAGTTTGGAATAACCCATGTCTCCATCTTGATCTTGTCACTCCTCCAGATGACAATGTTAAACTCAATACATCTTAAGTAACTATGGAGGTCGATTTGTTCAAATCTAATCAAACATAGGTGTACTGCCAATAAACTGAGGTATGTAATTGTGTGACTGTGTGACTATCAACCCTATTTTGTTAATACCTTGTATTAACAATAGTTGATGGTTGTTTCAAAGTGTTTCAGTAAATACATTGGAAGGAGTCTTAATTCACCTCTATTTGTTTATCAATCTATGTTCTCTGTGTGAGAGAAACACTTTTGTGTGATAATTTCACTCTTCTAAGTTGTATTTATTTTGTAATCCATAATGAGTTGATTTTTGTATAAGGGAATTGTCCTACTTCATTTTTCCCATGACCAGAATTGATAAAAGAATCATTTGCTTTGTGTACCCTTGGCTGTCTTGTCACAGCTCACTTGACAGGACACGGGCATTTAATTCTGGCCTTTCTTCTTCAGTTAGTCTCTGTGTCTCTGCTTATGGAAGTCCTAGTCTCTCTGGGTTACTGTCACCTTCTTACATATTTGGAATTGACTAGAAGCCTTATGCCAACATCCTTGAATTTTGTACTTGCTATCCATGGTCTCCAGATTTTCATGCATTTTAGGATTTGTTTTGTATTTCTGAGGGAAAAATGTCATTGAGATGCTACGGACTGCATTGAATCTGATCAATGGTTTTGCTACTATGGGCATCTTAACAATTCTCCCTATCCATGAATATGGGATGTCTTCCCTTTTATTCATATCATATTTAGTTACTTTAAAAAATATTACTGATTTTCATTAAAACAGATTTTCACATAGTTTGAATTTATTCTTAAGTGACCTACTATTTGGGTCCTATTGTAAATGGAATTGTCTTAATTCCCTTTCTGGACAAGTGATGTTTTGTATATGGATTTTTCATCCATTTCCTTTGCTGAATGTGTTGAATGGACCTGACAGTGATTGTGTAGTTGTGTAAATAGACTTTTCTGTACATAATATCATTTCTACTGCTAACAGAAATCGTTTTATTCCTTCTGCATAATTGGGTGAATTTTGTTTTTATGACCAAAAATTGTTTTGCTTTGGGCTTCCAGCGGTATGTTGAAAAGATGTGGTGAAAGAGTGAATCCTTCCTGTTCCTGAGTGAAAAGGAAAATCTTTGTTTCCACAGTTGAGTATAATGTTCGCCTTGGGCTTTACATGTATAACCTTTATGATGTTGAGGTAGTTTACTTCTTTCTCCTTTGCTAAGTGTTTTTATCTTAAAAGAGTGTTGAACTTCTCAAAAGCCTTGTCTGCATCAGTTGAGATAATCAAGTATTTTTCTTCCTGTTCTTGTTGTGCTGTAGTGTAATGGTTATTTTTTTCTTCTCTGTTGAAACATTCTGTACGGCAGGAATGACTCCCGCATTGTCCTGTTGCCTGAGCCTGCACTGTGCCCTCCGATTGTGTGCTTGGATTTCCTGAGGGATTTTGCATCCGTAGTCATCAGAAGTTTTGCACTTTCTGTTGCGGTTGTGTCTTTGGCTCTGGTGCCAGTGTCACATTGGCCTTATAGGAAAGGGTTTGGAAATACTCCTGCCTTTTAAGTTATGAAATATTTTAGGGAGAATGGTTTTAATTTTTCTCTGTCAGTGTTAGGATTAACAGGGGAGGCCATCTCCAATGCAAAAGGGCTCTTTTGGGGGCTGCTTTTAATCTCTTTTTCTAGTATATTCATGTCTTCAAGTTTAAATATTGGTATATTGTTTTTAGAATTTACCCATTTCTTCTACATATCCAATTTCTTCTACATATCCAATTTCTTGGCATATTGTTTTTCTAAAAAAAAAATCTGTTGTCCATTTTAATTTTGCATCTGTTGTATTGTCTCATCTTTAATCTCTGATTTTGGTTGAGTCTTCTCCAATTTATTTTTGTTAATTTATGTAAGGATTCTCAGTATTGATTTTTTTTCAAACAAGCACTATTAGATTCATTGAATATATTTTCTCCCTATTTATTTTCTATTTTCCATTTAATTTATTTCTACCCTAATTTTATTTATTGTGGTAAATTTGGACTTAGTAATTACTATTTTTGTAGTTCCTAATGTATAAATTTTGGTTGTTGATTTGAGATGTTTCTCATTGCTTGATATAAGCACACATTGGTATAAATTACCCTTTTTAATACTGCTTTCTGTTTATCCCGTATGTTTTAGTACATTGTGTGTTTGCTTTCGTTTGTCTCAAATGTTCTCTAATTTTCTTTGCCTGTGTCATCTCTGAACATTGGTGGTGTAAGATTGTGTAGTTTACTTACTGCAATTTTTTTAACTTCCCTTCTTCTTTCTGTTATTGTTTCTGGTTTCAAACCATCGTGATGAGAACTGATACTTTTTTTATAATTTGAAGTTTCTACCTCTCTATCCCCTTTTCCCATTTCACACATACACGTTCTGCCACCCCTGCAAAGGATACCAGCAGTCTATTGTCTCTGATTTTGGGGCTACTTCTGTTTCGTTTCTTCCATTCCACATAAAATTGAAATCCGAAGGTCATTGTCTTTCTATGTCTGGCTTACTAGTTAACATGATGTCCTCTTCATCCATCTATGTTGTTGTAAGTGGCAAGATTTTCTTTTCATAGCTGAGTAATACTCCATTGTAAATATACTGCATAATTTTATCCATTTATTTATTATTGGATATAGGTAGCTATCATATCTTGGTTATTGTTAAAGTTGGTGATTTTCTTGTCTTCTGTAGATGCCCAGTAGTGGAATGGATGTTCATTAAGTGTTTTCTGTCATTAGTTTTTGAGAAGTCTCCAGACTTCTTTCTGTCACAGCCAGAACAGTTTACAATTCCACCGGAAGTGTAGGAGGGTTCCCTTCCCCCACATCCTCACCACCACCTATTATATCTTATATTTTTGATGTTATCCATTCTGAGTGGTGTGAAGTGATAGCCCTGTTGATTAGTGAAGTTGAGCATCTTTTCATGTGTCTTTTTTGGAAAAACGTCTGTTAAGTCCTTTGACCATTCTCTAGTTGGATTATTTCTTTTGTTGACCTTCATTTGTGTGAGTTTATTCTGCCTGTGGGTATTAGCCTCATAGGAGGGAAATCATTTGCAAATACATAGTCCTACCCAGTACATCTTCCTTTAATTTGGTTGACTTCTTTTCCTTTTGCCCCTCAGAACCTTTAAGTCACCCCACTTTTTAATTTTTCTTTTGTTTTCCCTTTCCTAGAGATACCATACCAAGAAAAAAAATTTGTAATGACTGTGTTGAAGAGTTAACTGCTCTGTTCTCTTCTGGTAGTTCTGTGGTTTCAGGTCACATATTTGAGTCTTTTAATCTCACTTCAGTTTAGTTTTTGAGTGGTATTCCACAATGATGTAGATTCATTCTCTTTTGCACGTACTGTCCAGCTTTTACAACAGTGTTTATTGGAGACTGTCTCTTCTCCATCGTATATTCCTGCTTCTTCTGTTTATTAATCAACCATGTAAGTAATAGTTACGAGATGAAAAGACAGCATAGAGAATATAGCCAGTAAATACTCTAGTAACTTGGTTTGGTAACTGATGGAAACTACACCACCATGGTGAGCATTTAGTTACGTCTAAACTTGTCCAATCACTCTGTTGTACACCTGAATCCAATGTGATATTGCATATCAACTATACTTCAGTGAAAAGATCCAAAAAAGAAATGATACTTTGTAAGATGTACATTTTCCTAAAACTGCTTACACTTGTTTTGTGGGCTGATGTGTTATGTATTCTTTATCATATGCCTTTTGTTTATTAAGATTGTTTTTTCTGTTGTTTGGTGAGTGTTCAGAATATTTATTATATCTTAATTACCTCTTCACCTTATTGATCTTCCTCCAGGTGTTCTATCCATTACTGGTTGTGAGATAATGAGTTTTCTTCTTGTTATTTTGTTGCCATTTTTCAATACTGTTACTATTTGTTTCCTTTATGTAGGAGCTCTGATATTGGAGTCAGAAATACACAGTATTTCAGTATTTTTCTGTGAGGGTCTCATTGGTCATTATGTTATGGTTATCATTGTGTCCTTTCATGGTGTTTCACAAAGTCCAGTTTAACTGAAATGGCCACTCCTACTACCTCATGGTTACCTTTGTATTGACTATCATTTTCCATCATTTTCACTGTCAGCTTCTGTGTTTCAAGATCTGCAGTGAGTCCCTCGTAGACAGGCTGCAGTTGGTCCTTGTCTTTTTAATCCGCACAGCCTCTCTCCTCTTTTCCATGGGAGTTTAATCCCTTTTAAACTTGGTGAATGGGAAGGCAAGCATTGTCCATTGCTTTTCTGTAAAACTTTCTGTGTGTTTTCTGGTATCTGTTCCACATAGTCATCTCCCTCTGCGGTCCTTTGTGTTTAGTGATTTTTCCATGATCGTGTATTCTTTTCTTTATTGTTCCCCTTTGAGTGTCTTCTATGTGTATTTTCTTGGGTATTACATAAAACATGTTAAATTTATAACAATCTCGTAAAAGTTGAGAACAATTTCAGGTCGTAAAACTACTCCTGCATATGTGCAGCTCATCACTTAATGCTATTGATGGCACATTATACCTTCTTATTGTAAGTCCATTAAGTGATTCATGAGTATTAAACTCCATGCCAGTATTAAAAATATTTTCTGCTCAAGTAATATTAGAAGCTTCAGTATGTGTGTATCTATTTACCATCCGTGGAGTGACTTTTAAATTGAACTACAGTTGATGTACGTTACTTTGTTCAGGTGTAAAACACTTATGTAGATCACTAAATTCACTACAATACATGTACAGTATTAATTTTTACATAGATCTTTAAAGTTACATGTACCTGGTTCTTGTGGGATAATTTGATTTTTTTTATATATTTCAGCAGTTTCTTCTCATTCCAAAACAGCCTTGTTACCCCAGCATGCCATAAAAGACTCCTTCCAAATAGTGCTACCTGGAAGATCTGGGAGCTGTGTCCATGGACATTTACACCTAAGGGCACGCTGGAAAAGTGAGGCTGAGCATGGAGGGCAGGACGGCCATCACGGAGGAGTGGAGAGCCACGGGAGGAGCCCCCGGGACAAGCCCGTCCCTGTCTGTGGGGACCTGCATCCTGGGGTGACTCAGGACACAACCCAGTGCAAGTCAGTTACTGTTGCAGAACAGTATGTTACTGTGAATAAATGTCATCATCCAGTTTTGAAACCTAAATTATCTCAGAAAGAAAACTTGGAAAATCTTAAAATTGAGGACTGCCATTGTGTAAATAATCATTTCAACCATTTTAAATATAGCAGTACATTAGATATTCAGTCATATAATCCTCAGGACCAACTATACAATGAAGAAAAAATGTACAAATATGTTGAAATTGAAAATACCTTAAAAAAGGATTCATTTTTCTTCCATGAACCAGTAACGCCCACTCATGCTAAAACCTACAGATTTGATAACTATCAGAGAGACTCTCTCCACCCAACATTGCTTAGTGAATGTCAGTGTCTGGACGGTGAAGAAGAACCTTCCACGTATAATAAAAACAAGCAGGTCTTTAGTAAGTGCTCTAAATTAAATAATTGCCAAGGTATTTACATTAAAGAGAGAACACATCAATCCACAGAACCTGAAATAAATTATAACAGAGGATCAATTCATAGAGAACATCAGAGAGCTCAGATTCCAGAACACCACTACCCATGTAGTAAATGTGGACAAGTCTTCGAGGAATGGTCAGACTTTATTGTGCATCAGGGAATCCACATTGGAGAGAAGCCTCCCAGATCCAAAGGATGTGGGAAAACATTCAAACGTTTCCCAAAAGTGATTAAGCATCACAGAATTCACACTGGTAAGAAAGCTTGCAAATGTAAAGACTATGGGAAAGCCTTTAGTGAATCTTCCCGTTTAAATAGTCAAGAGAGAATCCATCCTGGAAAGCAACCGTACCAAGGTAAAGAATGCGGGGAGTCCTTAACTTGTTCCTCAGTTCTTACTGTGAATGAGAGAATCAATACAGGAGAGAAACCTTACAAGTGTGAAGAATGTGACAAATCCTTTAAGTGGGCCTCACACCTTACTCGGCATCAGAGAATTCATTCTGGTCAGAAACCTTACAAATGTAGAGAATGCAGGAAGTCCTTTGCTTGTCCATCAAGTCTCACTGTGCACCAGAGAATTCATACAGGAGAGAAGCCTTACACGTGTAAAGAATGTGGCAAAGCCTTTAAGCAGGGCTCACAACGTTCTCGACATCAGAGAATTCATACTGGGCAGAAACCTTACAAATGCAAAGAATGCAGCAAATCCTTTACTTATTCCTCATATCTTACTGTGCATCATAGAATTCATACAGGTGAGAAACCTTACAAGTGTAAAGAATGCAGTAAATCGTTTACTTGTTCCTCAAGTCTTAATGTGCATGGGAGAATTCATACTGAAGAGAAGCCTTTCAAGTGTAAGGAATGTGGGAAAGCCTTCAAGGGGGCCAAACTACTTAATCGACACCAGATAGTTCATTCGGGACAGAAACCTTATAAATGTACAGAATGCAGCAAATCCTTTACTTGGTACTCAAATCTTACTGTGCACTATCGAATTCATACTGGAGAGAAGCCTTACAAGTGTAAAGACTGTGGCAAAGCCTTTAAGCGGGGCTCACACCTTAATCGGCATCAGAGAATTCATTCTGGAGAGAAGCCTTACAAGTGTAAAGAATGCAGCAAGTCCTTTACTTGCTCCTCAAGTCTCACTGCACATAATAGAATTCATACTGGAGAGAAGCCTTACAAGTGTAAGGAATGTGGAAAAGCCTTTAAGTGGGGCTCACACCTTACTGAACATCAGAGAATTCATTCTGGAGAGAAACCTTTCAAGTGCAAAGAATGCAACAAATCCTTTACTTGTTCCTCAAGTCTTTCTGTGCATCACAGAGTGCATACAGGAGAGAAGCCATACAAGTGTATGGAATGCAGCAAATATTTTACTTGTTCCTCAAGTCTTAGTGTGCATGAGAGAATTCATACAGGAGAGAAGCCTTACAAGTGTAAAGAATGTGGAAAAGCCTTTAAGCGGGACTCACATCTTTATCGGCATCAGAGGATTCATTCTGGACAGAAACCTTATAAATGTACAGAATGCAGCAAATCCTTCACTTCTTCCTCAAATCTTACTGTGCATCATAGAATTCATACAGGAGAGAAACCTTACAAGTGTAAAGAATGTGGGAAAGCCTTTAAGCGACGCTCACACCTTACTCGGCATCAGAGAATTCATTCTGAACAGAAACCTTAACAAATGTAAAGAATGCAACAAATCCTTCTTCCTCACATGTTATTGCACATGAGAGATTTCATACAGAAGAGAAGCCTTACAAGTGTAAGGAATGTGGCAAAGCCTTTAAGTTGATCTCACTCTGTACTGAATATCAGAATTAATTCTTCACAGAAACCTTGCAAATGTAAAGAATGCATCAAATCCTTGTTCCTCAGGTCTTTCTGTGCACCATAGAATTCATACAGGAGAGAGACTTTACAAGTATAAAGAATGTGGTACAACCTTTTCTCTGAGCTCATGTCTTATTACACATCAGAGAATTCATTGTGGACAGAAAACTTACAAATGTAAAGAATGCAGCAAATCCTTTACTTCTCCCTCAATTCTTAATGTGCATGAGAGTTCGTACTGGAGAGTAGCTTTACAATTGCAAGGAGTGTGGCAAAGCCTTTAAGCTGTGCTCGAGCCTCTCTGCACACCAGAAAACTCATATTAATTGAAAGTTGATAGACCCACTCATATAGGAATGAGTTTTGTGTATACTGTAAATATAGGGTAATGAAGATTTTCAGATGGGAGAAAGAAAAAAATCTCCAAATGGAAGACCATGGCAAAGCTGTCAACAGTTCCTTACATATTGTACCTAAGAAAATATATAGTAGAGAGAAAACATACCAGTATGATTAATATGGAAACACCATTGTCCAAGACACAACACAGTAAAAACTTGACAATCGTCATAATGGAAAGTAATGTACAGGTGCAACATGTTAAAAATTATTTAAGTGAAAATCTAACCAGGGAAGTTTTTTGTAAGAAAGCACTAAGACACCAACTTTTTTGAGGTTACTCTCAGAGTATTTGTTATAAAAATGATCCGAATTAGTAGCAATCAGATAACTGACTTGGTACTTTGTGTTAATCTAGAAAGGGTTGTATTTTGGATGAAATATAGTGCCCTCCGCCCCCACTCCAGATGCCGGTTGCCAGCCCCAGACACTTAACCTGCACTTCTGATCTGCCGGCTACAATTTGAGGTTCCCTCGTCTCCCCTTTCGGGTTGATTAATTTGCTAGTGTGGCTCACAACAGAGGAAAACACTTATGTTTACCAATTTATTGAAGGATATCATAAAGGGTACAAGTTAACACAGATGAAGAGCTAATAGGGTCAGGTCCTAAATAAAGAAGCTTCTATCCTCATGGAGTTGGGGGGCTAGCTCAGTGACAGGAAGGCATTTGGGTTCCCCAAGCTTAGAAGCTCTCTCAGACTGAAGGCCAGGACCCGAGAGAGGAGACAGCTACAAGCGCGTGCGGATTTTCGTGAGGGCTTCCTTCTATCGTCATGATTGGCTAAATTGGTGACCATTGTCCGGTCAGCCTCCAGCCCCTGTCCTTGGGTCCAAAAGTCTCATTGTCTCATTAACATGACAAAACACCCGTTTCACCTTTTAAGACTGCCTTATTTTCAGTAACTGTGGATGAAGACCAAATATACTTGGGAAATACATATTTGTTGATGTGACTAACCAAATATGTATTTCTTACCACTCATTATATCACAGTTTTCAAATACAGATTCCTTTCAGCAAAATGATCATGCCTGTCGGAGCACGTACGTCTGGTATGGTATTTACACAGTGGAGCAGTAGGACCAGTGCAAGTAGGCTTAGCATTTACTGAAGCCAGTGTGGGGTGGGGACAGTTTTAAAGAGGCAACTCATTTGTCCTATAAAGACTTATGACCAAATATTCTCCCAGAGCGATGTATCTCCAGCTTGCAGGCTGTCGGTCAACACTGTCGTGTTCCCAAAGGCAGAGGTCATCTTGACCCACACAGCGTCACCCCTCTGGGCGTCTGGCATGCTTTTGCTAAGAGGTAATTTATTCTGTTGCTCTGAGCCTCCCACAAGGCATTAATAAATTGTTAGATTTCTCTCATTGCATAACCCTCTTATCCATCCCACCACCATCAGCTGTAATCTCTCCCTCTATCCATTTGTCACTTACCTTTACCCAGACTTTTCCCCCTGTGGGAGGGATGTTAGGTTCAGCTACTCTGCTGGTCCCGTGTGCTGGCAGCATTCCAGTCTAGGAAGTGCCTCCCCCGCAGTCCGCCCCTGCTCACGTGAGGTCCGGTTACACAGGAGCAGAGCTAGCGGGCTGTCCCGGCCCCTGGCAGCACAGCTGTGCCCACTGTCAGCCGCCACCTGGCCAGATGCGGGGAAGGCACAACCCACCCCGTCAGGCCCTTAGGGATTCTGACGTAAAGAGTTACGGTGGTGGTTACAGTTCCTTGCTTAGTAATCTTCCCTGCTTCTGGTACCTGCGTATGCAGTCCTGGATTTGGGACCACTGCGTCCGGCAGGAAAAAAGCAAGTTGTGATGTTCTGAAGAATTATATAGTCCCACTAGCATCTTCCCTCACTTGTCTTCCTCAAGGCCACCAGCAAAGTAGAAAACTACCTAGCGGAGACCCTTCCTTAACACAAATGCCGAGCACAAACGATAGCATGTAAGTCGGCCCTTAGTGCTTTTATGTGCCTCACCCATCGGTTTAGACAGCGAATGTTTCCACCGCACATTCCTTTTTTATTAAACCACTGCTCTGAGGATTATATGCAGCAAGGTGCATCCATCTGGTGTGATGTTTCTTGGCCCCCTGTTGAACAGCATGGCTGTAAAGCATGTCCCTTGGTCTGAAGAGAGATAACTTGCTGGGCTAAATTGGTACAGTATCTTTCATTTCAGTCATTTAGTGGTCCTTTGAGCATTTGCATCTCCCACTGGGTATGCAAAGCCCAGTCCAGAATAATTGTCTGTTCCAGTTAGGATCCATTTATAGCCCACAGGGGCTACTGGCATTCGTCCAGTATAATCCACTTGCCAGCTTGTGTGTGGGGCTTTCCCCTTGGGGGATTTTTCCTACAGCCAGCTGCAGTCCTTGTCTCTCTCATTGACAGAACAGTTCTTGTTGGCGTTTGGTGCCTGACAGTGCCAGAGGAATATGTCTGGATTCAGCCCATCTCTGCACTGCTGCAGCCACGTGTCCTGGACCCTGTTGGTCACCTCGTGGGAGCGCACCCACAGGTCTGCTTGATCCCAGTCACCTGATCCTGGAAGGGGGTTCCTGTGATGGGCATTGACGTGCTGTGATTTAAATTCCCAGAGTGATTTCTGTCGGGCTGCACCCGCACAGGCATTCTTTAATAGCCCCCTTTTCTCTTGCCCATCTACGTGACCATGTAACCAAGCCATTACTTACAGCCTGCGAGTCAGTAAAAAAATCTAAACAAGGAGCTTCTATCATTGTTAATTTCCTCCTGTCACTGCCAGGAACACGGCACACATTCTGCCCCACAACTCAAGTCTTAATGTGCATGGGAGAATTCATACTGAAGAGAAGCCTTTCAAGTGTAAGGAATGTGGGAAAGCCTTCAAGGGGGCCAAACTACTTAATCGACACCAGATAGTTCATTCGGGACAGAAACCTTATAAATGTACAGAATGCAGCAAATCCTTTACTTGGTACTCAAATCTTACTGTGCACTATCGAATTCATACTGGAGAGAAGCCTTACAAGTGTAAAGACTGTGGCAAAGCCTTTAAGCGGGGCTCACACCTTAATCGGCATCAGAGAATTCATTCTGGAGAGAAGCCTTACAAGTGTAAAGAATGCAGCAAGTCCTTTACTTGCTCCTCAAGTCTCACTGCACATAATAGAATTCATACTGGAGAGAAGCCTTACAAGTGTAAGGAATGTGGAAAAGCCTTTAAGTGGGGCTCACACCTTACTGAACATCAGAGAATTCATTCTGGAGAGAAACCTTTCAAGTGCAAAGAATGCAACAAATCCTTTACTTGTTCCTCAAGTCTTTCTGTGCATCACAGAGTGCATACAGGAGAGAAGCCATACAAGTGTATGGAATGCAGCAAATATTTTACTTGTTCCTCAAGTCTTAGTGTGCATGAGAGAATTCATACAGGAGAGAAGCCTTACAAGTGTAAAGAATGTGGAAAAGCCTTTAAGCGGGACTCACATCTTTATCGGCATCAGAGGATTCATTCTGGACAGAAACCTTATAAATGTACAGAATGCAGCAAATCCTTCACTTCTTCCTCAAATCTTACTGTGCATCATAGAATTCATACAGGAGAGAAACCTTACAAGTGTAAAGAATGTGGGAAAGCCTTTAAGCGACGCTCACACCTTACTCGGCATCAGAGAATTCATTCTGAACAGAAACCTTAACAAATGTAAAGAATGCAACAAATCCTTCTTCCTCACATGTTATTGCACATGAGAGATTTCATACAGAAGAGAAGCCTTACAAGTGTAAGGAATGTGGCAAAGCCTTTAAGTTGATCTCACTCTGTACTGAATATCAGAATTAATTCTTCACAGAAACCTTGCAAATGTAAAGAATGCATCAAATCCTTGTTCCTCAGGTCTTTCTGTGCACCATAGAATTCATACAGGAGAGAGACTTTACAAGTATAAAGAATGTGGTACAACCTTTTCTCTGAGCTCATGTCTTATTACACATCAGAGAATTCATTGTGGACAGAAAACTTACAAATGTAAAGAATGCAGCAAATCCTTTACTTCTCCCTCAATTCTTAATGTGCATGAGAGTTCGTACTGGAGAGTAGCTTTACAATTGCAAGGAGTGTGGCAAAGCCTTTAAGCTGTGCTCGAGCCTCTCTGCACACCAGAAAACTCATATTAATTGAAAGTTGATAGACCCACTCATATAGGAATGAGTTTTGTGTATACTGTAAATATAGGGTAATGAAGATTTTCAGATGGGAGAAAGAAAAAAATCTCCAAATGGAAGACCATGGCAAAGCTGTCAACAGTTCCTTACATATTGTACCTAAGAAAATATATAGTAGAGAGAAAACATACCAGTATGATTAATATGGAAACACCATTGTCCAAGACACAACACAGTAAAAACTTGACAATCGTCATAATGGAAAGTAATGTACAGGTGCAACATGTTAAAAATTATTTAAGTGAAAATCTAACCAGGGAAGTTTTTTGTAAGAAAGCACTAAGACACCAACTTTTTTGAGGTTACTCTCAGAGTATTTGTTATAAAAATGATCCGAATTAGTAGCAATCAGATAACTGACTTGGTACTTTGTGTTAATCTAGAAAGGGTTGTATTTTGGATGAAATATAGTGCCCTCCGCCCCCACTCCAGATGCCGGTTGCCAGCCCCAGACACTTAACCTGCACTTCTGATCTGCCGGCTACAATTTGAGGTTCCCTCGTCTCCCCTTTCGGGTTGATTAATTTGCTAGTGTGGCTCACAACAGAGGAAAACACTTATGTTTACCAATTTATTGAAGGATATCATAAAGGGTACAAGTTAACACAGATGAAGAGCTAATAGGGTCAGGTCCTAAATAAAGAAGCTTCTATCCTCATGGAGTTGGGGGGCTAGCTCAGTGACAGGAAGGCATTTGGGTTCCCCAAGCTTAGAAGCTCTCTCAGACTGAAGGCCAGGACCCGAGAGAGGAGACAGCTACAAGCGCGTGCGGATTTTCGTGAGGGCTTCCTTCTATCGTCATGATTGGCTAAATTGGTGACCATTGTCCGGGCAGCCTCCAGCCCCTGTCCTTGGGTCCAAAAGTCTCATTGTCTCATTAACATGACAAAACACCCGTTTCACCTTTTAAGACTGCCTTATTTTCAGTAACTGTGGATGAAGACCAAATATACTTGGGAAATACATATTTGTTGATGTGACTAACCAAATATGTATTTCTTACCACTCATTATATCACAGTTTTCAAATACAGATTCCTTTCAGCAAAATGATCATGCCTGTCGGAGCACGTACGTCTGGTATGGTATTTACACAGTGGAGCAGTAGGACCAGTGCAAGTAGGCTTAGCATTTACTGAAGCCAGTGTGGGGTGGGGACAGTTTTAAAGAGGCAACTCATTTGTCCTATAAAGACTTATGACCAAATATTCTCCCAGAGCGATGTATCTCCAGCTTGCAGGCTGTCGGTCAACACTGTCGTGTTCCCAAAGGCAGAGGTCATCTTGACCCACACAGCGTCACCCCTCTGGGCGTCTGGCATGCTTTTGCTAAGAGGTAATTTATTCTGTTGCTCTGAGCCTCCCACAAGGCATTAATAAATTGTTAGATTTCTCTCATTGCATAACCCTCTTATCCATCCCACCACCATCAGCTGTAATCTCTCCCTCTATCCATTTGTCACTTACCTTTACCCAGACTTTTCCCCCTGTGGGAGGGATGTTAGGTTCAGCTACTCTGCTGGTCCCGTGTGCTGGCAGCATTCCAGTCTAGGAAGTGCCTCCCCCGCAGTCCGCCCCTGCTCACGTGAGGTCCGGTTACACAGGAGCAGAGCTAGCGGGCTGTCCCGGCCCCTGGCAGCACAGCTGTGCCCACTGTCAGCCGCCACCTGGCCAGATGCGGGGAAGGCACAACCCACCCCGTCAGGCCCTTAGGGATTCTGACGTAAAGAGTTACGGTGGTGGTTACAGTTCCTTGCTTAGTAATCTTCCCTGCTTCTGGTACCTGCGTATGCAGTCCTGGATTTGGGACCACTGCGTCCGGCAGGAAAAAAGCAAGTTGTGATGTTCTGAAGAATTATATAGTCCCACTAGCATCTTCCCTCACTTGTCTTCCTCAAGGCCACCAGCAAAGTAGAAAACTACCTAGCGGAGACCCTTCCTTAACACAAATGCCGAGCACAAACGATAGCATGTAAGTCGGCCCTTAGTGCTTTTATGTGCCTCACCCATCGGTTTAGACAGCGAATGTTTCCACCGCACATTCCTTTTTTATTAAACCACTGCTCTGAGGATTATATGCAGCAAGGTGCATCCATCTGGTGTGATGTTTCTTGGCCCCCTGTTGAACAGCATGGCTGTAAAGCATGTCCCTTGGTCTGAAGAGAGATAACTTGCTGGGCTAAATTGGTACAGTATCTTTCATTTCAGTCATTTAGTGGTCCTTTGAGCATTTGCATCTCCCACTGGGTATGCAAAGCCCAGTCCAGAATAATTGTCTGTTCCAGTTAGGATCCATTTATAGCCCACAGGGGCTACTGGCATTCGTCCAGTATAATCCACTTGCCAGCTTGTGTGTGGGGCTTTCCCCTTGGGGGATTTTTCCTACAGCCAGCTGCAGTCCTTGTCTCTCTCATTGACAGAACAGTTCTTGTTGGCGTTTGGTGCCTGACAGTGCCAGAGGAATATGTCTGGATTCAGCCCATCTCTGCACTGCTGCAGCCACGTGTCCTGGACCCTGTTGGTCACCTCGTGGGAGCGCACCCACAGGTCTGCTTGATCCCAGTCACCTGATCCTGGAAGGGGGTTCCTGTGATGGGCATTGACGTGCTGTGATTTAAATTCCCAGAGTGATTTCTGTCGGGCTGCACCCGCACAGGCATTCTTTAATAGCCCCCTTTTCTCTTGCCCATCTACGTGACCATGTAACCAAGCCATTACTTACAGCCTGCGAGTCAGTAAAAAAATCTAAACAAGGAGCTTCTATCATTGTTAATTTCCTCCTGTCACTGCCAGGAACACGGCACACATTCTGCCCCACATTCTGCCCACTGAGCTGATTTTTTCTTAACCCTCCTCACACGCTGTTTCCATACCCTGGTCTTAAGGCAGCAGGTTTCCAAACAGGATATTGTCCATTCATCTTGGAACTGCCATGCATAAACCAAGGAGTTCTTTGCTCAGCTGAGAGCTGTTCACAGGGCACAGTCAGTTCTTAGAACTCCTCAGGGGGCTTCAGTGTCAGCCCCGGAGGAGGAGGCGGCCTGCTCACAGCTGTGGTGGGGGTCTGCCTGCACTTCCCCCGCAGCCTGTCCCCGCAGGAACCACTTCCAGGCTGTGGAACACTTCCGGGCTCTGCCTGCCGTAGTAGAGTGCCTCTCTGGCCTCACCCAAGACCCGGGTATCTCGGTTTTCAAGATTATATTACATCCTTCGGTCAGTGAGGCAGTTTCAATGCCCAGTAGCATACATAAGATTGTCTTTCAAATGGTGTGTACTGGGCAGGAGCATCTGGGAGTTTTCTGGCCCCAAATCCCAACTGTTGCTGCTGGGAGGCACTCGTGGGCTTTTGCCACAGCCCCCAGTCTGCATGGGGACAGGCGGCAGATTCTTCCAAAATCATATCTGAATGGGGGTCATTAGGCCCCAGAGATGTCAAGAGCACAGCTGCCTTTTACACCTCAGACGTGGCTTGCTCTTTTGTTCAGGTCCCCACTCAAATAGAGCTCTTTCATGCAGTGTTACAGGTAAGAGCTAACTGTATTCCCGGGTGTGGCATGTGTCCTCCAATATGCAAAGAAGCCAGCCAAACCCTCGGCTTCTTACTTCGTTCCAGGGGCGGGTAGTGACAGCAGCTCATTCTTTGTCACTTGTGGAATATCCCGGGTGGCTTCTGCCCATGTTACTCCTGAGAATCTCACTTTTTCAGCAGGCCCTTGGACTTTTGCTGGATTTATTAACTAGTCCTGGTTGGTCAGGTGCGTCCCTGTCATGTTCAAACTAGTCCTCGCCTGCTCTTCTGTGTTCTGATGTTAACATCATCAGTATAGTGTATTATCACACTGGAGACCTGCATCAGGTCCCAATCCCTCCTGACCAAGTTGTGGCAGTAAGCTTGTGAGTTCAGATACCCCTGCGTCAGCATGGTAAAGGCAAAATGGGGTCATTACCACGTAAAGACAAACTGTGGTTGGGTCTTTTCAGAGAGAAGAGAGCATTTGCAAGGTCCGTCACTGAGCACCAGCCTCCAGCCTGCTGTTACACTCTGTAGGGTTGAGACCATGTCTGGAGCTACTGAGACTTCAGGCGATACAACCGTATTCAAACCAGGATCTTCTCTCAGTGTCTGAGCCATCCTCCCTTTCCCAGGCCACCCAGGGCTGCTGCACTCCACTGAATTCCTGGCGCCAGCACTCCAGCTTGTAGCATGTCGGGAACTGAAGCACGTGTCCTGTATTGCTTGAAGTTAGCCACCTGTGTGGTCTCAGGCAGTTCATGGGGTCCCCACTTAGCATGACCGAGCAAAACCGGCCTGAGAGCGGGCTTACATTGAGTTCTGTCTTACAGTGCTGGGGAGGGGGCGCAACCCCCACTCGGGCGTAACATCCATCCCAAGAGTACATACAGGTAAAGGGGATGCAACCACCTCACACAAAAATCTCAATCCTATTTTCATCCAAAAGTCCACCTCAATCCCATCAACCGCTGAACCTCCGTACACTCCAGTCTAACCGTAGCCCTGATAAGTCATCGCCAGCAGGTTTCGGAAGCACTGCATTTGGGTTCCCGAAACAAGGAGTCCCAGGAAAGTTTCTTGCCATCCTTTGCCATTTTACCATTATATGTGCACGTGGCCTCAGGTCCCCAGTTGGGTTTGTGGCCAGAAGACCCCGGCCCTTTTCTCCATCTAATCTGGATTAGCCCACCTGACCAATGGCCCAAGGGGTTCCTGGTCAAGGTTTTCCTTGTGATCTTGACCTTAAGGCTTTTTCAATTCCTCCAAAGTGGAGTAAATAGAGTGGGCTTGTTTGGGCCTCTGTAATGCTTGGGGGGGGGAGGTATCGAAGGATCTCGTCACCCACCCAGTCTCCAGTAGTGCTGCTTTATTCATCCCACTTTAGCCCTTCTACTCTGTTGGGCCAAGTCTCTTGACTCTGCTTTGACCCTCCCCATTTTCTTAATTCCGTTAATGCTCTTGTTAGTGATGAGACTCATCAAAGGGAAACTGAGATAACAGTTCTTGTAAAGGCTTCTCAAACTGATTTTGTAACAGTGAAGTTAAATGGGGTGCCCACGTAACAGGCCCCCCTAATCACAGTATTCACCATAACCTGTGTAACAAGAATATCCAGTGTGTATCTCAGTTACCATAAAGCCAGTCCCACATTGCCTGCGTACAAAGCATATAAGGTGCTTCACGTGGGGTGTTCCATCTGGCATTGATAGGGGAAGACGGGCAGTCCGTCTTCATAGGAGAGGCAGAGCTCACAGTGGCGCTGTTTATCCAGGCCACCAGGCGGGCTGTTCCTCAGGAATAAACTCCATGTGTCTGTGATAGTTCAGTAGTTACATGGGTCCTGCATCAGCCCAAACATGCTCTTCCCCTTGGAAGTATTCACAATCAAAGACACAGCCCCCAAACTGGTTATTCACTGTAGTTAAGGGTTTTCGGGAAGCTGGTGATGCTCGTCTACAAAATGGGCCAATTCCCACTGTACACTGCATTTCCTGGTTTTCACCTTTTTACATTAACTATCATCTTTATGACCAGAGGTCTTAGGGGTACTTTGTGTTTTTTGCTTATAATATTTCCCTTTCTTGGGAGCTTTGAGGCTAATGACAAAGCTCAGGTTAGCACAAATTCAAGCTTGGTTTAGCATCAAGCCCTGACCCAGTTCTTTATTTCCGGTTCTGCTATTATAGGTAACCAGGAAATGGTATATTTTACTTGCTTTGTATTAGTTTTCATTTTATTACAAACCCAATGAGTGGTAACTTGTACCATTAGTAACTGATTGCAGTGCATACCAATGATGACTAGGTATCCAGGCATTAAAATTATTGTATCTCCTGCTGTTTCATTCTCTCCAGAAACCATACACTTGCCTGAGCCTGCACTGGTCCAGCAAATCTCACTATTCTAACAAGTGAGATGAGGTAGTTTAACTCCTTTCAGGTTCCCAGACCCAATACCAGTGTGTGTAGGGGGCGGATGATATGCCAATCACAAGACCCAGGTAGGTACATGTGGTTCTGACCTACCAGCTAGAGACTGGAGGATCCCAAGAACTCCCCCTAGGGTTCATTTAATTTGCTTGAGTGGCTCACAGAACTCAGGAAAACATGTTTACCAATTTAATGAAGGATACTGTAAAGGGCACAAGGTAACATTTGAGATACATAGGGCAAGGTCCCAAATAAACTTCTATACTGGTGGAGTTCAGGTGCTGGCTCGGTGGCATGTGGAGGGGTTGTGGTTCACTCTGAAGCGGGATCCCAGGGGGCAGAGAGAGAGAATCTCTTCCTGGGTTTTTGTGAGTGCTTCGTTGCACAATCACGATTGCCTATATTATTGGTTATTGGCTAGTTCAACTTCCAATGCATACCATTCATTCATCCAAGTCTCATTAACATGACAAAACACCCATTTCACTTTGAAGACTGCAGTTTTTTTAGGAACTGGAGGAAGGCCAAATTGGGGAGAATGGAACTTTCTGACCTGATGCACTATTGGCATTAATAGGGTCGATTTTGTGTATGATAAGAGCATATTGCACATCTATGAGATGGGTACGAATGACAGAGCAGTTGGTCAGCCCCTGGATTGCCAGTCCAGGTCGGGGTGGAGAAGAAACACCCATTCCCTCCTCTGTTCCTAGTTCATAATTGGTCAGGTGCTCTCCACTCACCAGAGACCCGTGCAGTGCCCCCTCGGCATGGAAGGGGGCCGAGAGGGGGGCTGGAGAGAGTCTGGGGCCAGGAGCCTGGGAGCCGTGCAGGCGGGGGTCCCCAGCAGTGCCGGAGACAGCTGCAGGTGTGAGAGTAAACCCATTAATTCACAACTTCCTGCGCTTAGTTTCCTTCAGTCTCAGTGAATTCACAGGGAAATGAAGGCAGGTGCCGAAGCCCATCCTCCGGTGCTACATTCTTGGTGCACCCAGCATGAGAGGGTGAACTCAAAAGGCTGCCGTTGTGGCCTCAGAACTTCAGTGAGCTGCCCTTGTGGGTGGTCGGGAGACACGGGGATGCACCTAGGGATGGTGGGGACACACCCAGGGATCCCCCAGTGGAGGTTTAGTCTGCGGTGGCTTCCTCCCTAGAGGAGTGGGCTCCTCCGCGGAACGGGGAGGGGTGAGGATGCCAGAGGCGGTGGAGTTGGCCTTCCACAAAATAGGGGACTCGGGGGCTGAGTGCCCGTGCGGTGGCGGGCACTGTGGGTTGGTATTTCTCAGCACTCAGAAGGGCTACTGAGGAGAGCTGTGCTTCTGCAGGAAGGTGGACAGGAATGCAACTTGGGGGATTCTGTGCGGAAGGAAAAGAAGGTGTTTTTAAAAACAGTGCTGCTGAGACGTGCTAATAGTACAGGAAGGGGCAGTAGATGGACGCCGGCTGTGAGATGCCATGACGGAGGTGAAGGAAGGTGGGCCGTTCAGCCCGGAAATGGTAGAAGAGACGTCGGGACGAGGAGCTCAGGAAGGATGGAGGGGTGGGGCCAAGGGCGTGGGAGCCGCCGGTCCGAGGCACGAGCCCCTCCCAGGTGAGAGCCGGTTGAAAGCCACACTTGTAGTTAAGGAAGTAAAAGTGCAACCACAGTGGGTGCCTCAGTGAGGGATGCAGCCCCCTCCCCAGGCCGTGGAGCGCTGATGCTCCACGTCTATATCCATGCTGAACTGGTGGACTTGAGCTCCCCGATGTCTGCAGGATGCTGCCTTTTGTGCCTTTGGGACTCAGGAGTAGATGGAATTACTCCATCTGGGTC